GGTGTTTGCTTTTGGCTGCACGCTGGAACAGAGGGACAAGGGGAATAGGCAGGACAGAATTTCTGCCACCATTTGCCCAAGTCCTGGCCGCATGTTACAGTTTTCTCTTCACCTCTTCATTATTGATTTTATCCCTCATGCTCTTTCTGGCCTCTTCAGGCATTTAGGCTGTAGCAGGGTTTTAAGGATCTATTTTTAAAAGTGAAATAATAGTTAGTTTAAGCTGTTGCCATTTCCCGGCTCTATTTTACCACGTGGTGGTAGTTCTGTGATGTGGTTTACTGGTCACTGGAAAGTTGACATCACCAAAAGCATTTCATTCACAATCTAAGATTTTTGTGATGAATTACAGGCCTGCAAGCAAATAACTGGAATTGCAAAGCTGTGACTTGGGTGCTGCTTTGATTTAATTTTTATCAACAGTGAAGACTGTCCATGAAGGAACTGTTGCATGCAACGTGATTATGATTAAGTCTTTAACACAGGACTCCTCTTTCCCCGTGTACACCCACAACTGTAAAATTTTCCAGAGTTGTTACTATTATGTGCCTCAAGAGAGTGCCTGGGAGCACCAGCCACAGCAGCGCCCATCGAAAACCAGATTCTATTTTTACTCTTAAGTAATTTTTTTGGGAAGCCTCTGAAACTGGCAATGGGCTGAAGAAATCTGGGGTCTGGTTAGCTGTACTGCTGACCCAAAGCAGGTGGCAGGCTGGAAAGCTGTGGGCACAGTTGGTACCTGTGAGGGAGAGGCAGTGGCTCATATTTGAAGAAGCAGCAGCAGATGACTGCAGAAGCCCTCTCAACTGGGCTTGCAGGGGCTACTTCAATTCAGGAAACATTGCTCAAAGCTCACTCCTGTTGACAAAGGCTAATAAAGCCCCAAATCCACAGATTTTTTTTCCGTTTTGCAGCAGGCAAGTCTAAGGACCTCAAAAGCAAGTGGCTTGAATAAACTTGGGCTCCAAAGTATAAAGAATGGTGTGTGCAAGGCAGGAGAGACCAAAGTTGTTTTCCCATAGCTACATTGATGCTGTAATAACAAATGGAGAAAAAAATGTGCTTTACTCAGTGAAATGATGACAGATGACTTGAATACTCTCCAGAAACAACTACACTGATCAAGAAGGTGTCATCTTAAAAGATAGTTAGCCCCTTGACATGTCTCTTTGCATCTCATTTTTTTCAAAACAGATTATCGCTAATGAGCAATCCTCATTGAGGTCTCAGGTTCTTGTTCAAAAGTGTCATGGGAAAAAAATTGTGGAAACCCCCGACCTTGTTCTTCCAGATTTTTTTTCTTTTAAAGGAAAGAGGCCCATGCAACTCTATCTTTTCTGAAATGTGAAGAGCAAGAAGAGTAATTTTAGCATCCATGACACAGAGCTTCTGCTGCCCTCTGATTGCTCAAGGGCACAAAGAACAAATATTTCCTTAAGCCTGAGAACAGGAGTCTGAATGCTGCTGGTTCTCCCCTTCAGAAGCACCTGTGTGTGTGTTTTTTTAAGGTGTGAGTAACACAGTGTTGCTTTGTAGTGCTGTCATCGATGTTCTCCTACCCTAAAAGCACAAGCACACTCTTGCTTAGTGTCCTTTTCAACAAATAAGCGAGACAAAAACCCAAAGCTAAAAAGTCTGCCTGCAGCTCAACACCAAAACACAGTCTTTCTGCAAACCTTGATGTAAGCATGCTTGTTTTTTCCAAAATCCATTGTGGTAATCATGTGCTTAAAGGTAAGCAGGTGTTGGTGTGCTTTACCAAACTGGATCTACCAAGCCTGGAGGAGGTTTGTCTTTTTTCCCCTGGCTTCTTCCCCTGTCAGATATACTTGTTCTGAAGTAATACTGATCAAATGGGAAAGCTGCTTGGTTTTTTAGGAACTGGTGCAAATCTGGGTGCTTTGCACACTTTTGAAATGACAAATTAAACTTACACAGGATACCTAGAGCTCTCTGAAGCACTTATTTACACGTGGTGGTGGGGTTTAATGAGCAGCTTCGTCAATAGCGAGACCATTAAAGGAATGACCAGGCTGGGTGTAATCTCATCTAAGCACTTCAGAGGAAGTTTGCACTTTCTCTCTCTAGATAAGAGCTTGGTGGTCATTCTGACCCACAGGCCAGCATCCGAGGAGAGGAAGGATGTTCCAGGGGTAACGGAGCAGACTTGGGCCTTGGGAGACTTGGTTTGGTTTCCTGTCACCTCTGTAAAGCCAGATGGCCTCCTGGTACAAGTTCCTCATCTGCAAATGAATTGCACTTCCCTGTCTCAGAAGGACACATTGGCAGGAATGTGCTGGTGATGGTGAAGCATCAGGTCATCGTGCTGCCAGCGGCACAAGTACTTCCCATCCTTCAAAGGAAGTTAATGTACAGTTTGAGACAGACACATCTGCCTGGCAGAGGGATTAACATGGGATAGCCTGACATCAGCAGAGCTGTGTTAGAAAAAAGTCTTGAGTTTGGCTCCCACCAAAATTCCAGGTTGCTTTGGTTTCCCTTCCTGTCCACTCTTGCTCCAGCTTTCATGCTCGGCAGGTCCAACCAGTCCATACCAGGCTAGAATCCCTCACCTTCACCTGGGGGTTAGCCCCATGAGAGCCTTGTCTTTGCACCATTGGGCATAAATCAAAAGAGGGAATATTGCAGCTTTATGAATGCCTTGGCTTGTGTGAAAAGGGGAGGGACACAGATACAGAAGAGGCTGCTTATTGACACAGAGCACAGGTTAATGCAGCTGTGACCTATTCCATAACAATAGCCCTCATTGTGTCGTAAAGCCTGGTGGTATCGAATGATGTCCAGCAGGTGGCTGAGCCATTAGCCTGCTCCCTTCACCTTGGTTCCAGGGCCCTGCTGCTTCTCCTCAGGCTGAGTTGTGATTCTCAGAAATTACTCCAGACCCTTTAGCTGAATGCTCCTTAGCAGATTTGCATATCCTTCCGCAAAAGGGATGACTTTGCCCTTGTTTGACACTTCAGTAATTTTTTTAGTCTTTTTGTCTAAAGAGGAACTATTAAACAGGGGCAAACGAGGAAGAAGAGGATATTCTGTAACAAAAAGCAAGTGGCTGAGACTGCTTTTGGTCTCACCACTATTGTTACTTTTGTGGATGGCTGGGTAGAGAATCAATTGCTCAAGACACTCTCTGTGCTTGGTTCCACATCATCACCTCAGCCCTTTGCTGGCCATCTCAGTGTTTTAGCCTGAAGTGTGTTACAGAAAACGAGCTCTTTCAAATATAGGGGTCACTGATCTGTGTCACTGTTCAGCTGCCAGGCTGGCCCAACTTTCCTTTTCCTAGATTGCCTCTTCTCTCACCAGCACTGCCTGTTATCCTGTGCCCCTCCTTGGAAGTGCCGTGTAAACAGGGAGTGCAGTGTTTGTTCCAAAAAGGCATTATCTAATCACAGGAAAGGTACTTCTGATGAATGCAAAGAAAGAGACAGGGAAACAATGAGACAACAGAGGACTAGACTCTTAATTTGACCTGGGGTTGTTGTGATGATTAAAAAAAAGCCTGTAAGTTGTTTACACCCTGCAAAAATACAAGAACTCAAGACCTCTGACTTGTGCTACTTTTTCAGTTCCAGACACAGCTAGCACAGTTTTGATAAACACAAGTCATGCACCAACCCATAGCTCAAACTCCAAGCCAGAAAGTGGTGTTTAAAAAAAATTCAGTCTTTTTTGGTCATCCTAAATATACAAGACCCTTTCCAGCATCAAAAGAGGGAAAGGTGCTTAGGGAAAGCTATTTTTTTTTAAAGAGGTTGCTATTGCTTAAACTAGAAAAGGAGAGAGGAGAAGATATAAAGACTTGGAGGAAACAAGGGGAGAATGCTAAGTAGAGGAATGGGAACCAGCACCAGCAGGCATAGGGTTGTCATGTGCTATTAGATGGCAAAAGCTCCCTTTAACTGGCAGAAGAAGCTTTATTGCAGCTTTGTCCAAGTTAATGCAGTTTTCATGGCTTTATCCAAGAGTGAAGAATTCCGTGCTATGGGCTCAATTTTGAATCACCTTATTTAATTTCAAGATCAACTACTGTGAGGTGTTGAGTTTGCCTTGAGGACTCTGGGCTGCCAAAGCAGGGTCAGTGAAGGGCTGGGCACAATGCTTGGCTGGCCAGGATCCCCAGCACAAGCCATGCCCTCAAGCCTGAGCTCTGGGTGGGACCGCTGTGTGCACAGGCAGCTGAGAGCTGGGAGGGAGTGCAAAGGCCCATGAGGGCCAGAGGCAACTCTGCTGCCTGCTTTGCAGATGCTCTGTCATGTACCCATTTCAGGTGGGTGGGGGGGAGACGGGGTGCTTTGTGTAGATTTGTGTTGGTTTTGGTTTGGGTTTTTTTGCGACACAAAAGCTGTTGGGTAATTGCATCACCTTTCTGGATGGCTGCCTCAGTTCCATGAGACCACCTCTGCAGGACACAGTGGGAGCCATAAAAAGCTGCAAAATTTAAGCCCAGCATTTTATGGGACTAGCCAGGAGCATTTTGTATCCCAGTGGGAAGCTGGGAACTTCTTCTTTTTCAGGAATATAAATCATTCACTTTGCTTGTTTGCTTAATGCTCTGCATTAAAACTGGCAGTTTCCCAGGTCTTGATCTGAGGTAATTTCTGTGGAAGAGACTACAGAGGTATATCTATGCCTTTTTTTGCCTTTACAATTGTTTTAAAGTAATATATTTTAAATAAAAGAGTACTGTAAGAAAAGGTTATGTAGCAGGCCAAAAGTTCACGACAAATTGCAAGATGGGTTATTTATTTGTCACCTGGCTCTATTAAAATTCCCTGTGTGTACATCACCAAGTACATACTCTCAACTTGTCTACAAAGCACCTTTGAAGTCACAAATGTGGGGTAAGTTTTATTGCTTGGCTATCCACAAGAGACAGACACAGAACATCTTCCTTCTCTCTGCCAGCACTGGGACTGGGTAGGTCTGGAGCTCTCCAAGTGTATTGGTTCTCATGTCCTCTCTTTCCTTCCCTGCTCCAGCTGTCACTACAAATCACTCCGCCGTGTGAGAGCGAACAACACTATGAGCACTCTGGCCGGTGCTGCAGGAAGTGTGAGCCAGGTACGTGAGCACTGCCTGGCTGTGAGGCTGAGAGGCTCCTTAGCAGCTGCTCCGGGGTGAGGCAGCCAGCTCTCCTGACTGCTGGTGGACTGGCACGTGCCCTGCAGGTGCCTGATCTCAAGTGCCTTCCTAGGGCAGGAGTGGTCCTGCTGGCCTCAGCAAAGGCCACAGCAGCTGTTTTGTTGGGATAGCACTTAACCAGTGCAGGAGACGGAAAGGAGCTCCATTCTTGTGCTCCCAGGCTGTCCACAGATGTTTCAGTGCCACACTAAATGGGGACCAGATTGACAAATTAAAAGGTGCAGGAAGACATGATTGTCCACAGCAGTGTTAGCAGCCAATCTCTTATTTTTCTCTAACCTCCTTAGACAGCTGCTCTACAGCTTCCAGGTAACCTACTTGTCCTTTTCTCAATCACAGGGAAGTATTTGTCTGCTAGATGCACTGCTACTTCTGATAGTGTGTGCCTGCCATGTGGTCCGAACGAGTATATGGATGTCTGGAACGAAGAAGATAAATGCTTACTACATAAAATATGTGATCAAGGTGAGCTGTTCATACTGCAAAACCTTTTAATCCAAATTAGTTAGGCATGAAGGTGGGAAAGTGGATCTAGGGAAGTTGCTGTGTTCAGGTGCCCAACACTGAAGGCTGAGCTTGCAGAAGAGCCTGGCAGAGAGGGAGGTCCCTGGACAGCAGAGATCCTGTCCTGTGCCAAGCACCATGACTGCAGTCTCAGTGCTGCTGATAGTGATTATCTTCACTGGGGCCATTCACCCCTGTGAGCTGATTTTAGAAGTTGTCCTTTTGCCCAGCACACTCTGCATTCACTTCCCCTAATGTGTTTGTCTCACCCTTGCAAATGCTGTGTTTATTTTCTGCAAAAGCCATAAGGAAATGTATTGTTTAGAAGTGCAGTGGTTGAGGAGCCCCGTGCTGATCAAGGGTCTCCCATGCTTCCGGAGAGACACCATTTGCTCTGACATGAATGGTTTTGCATCTGCCATTCAAGCAAAGCAAGTAGGAGGTTCAGAAACGTGAGGCTTGTTATCAGAGAGATTTTTACTCTCATCTGCTTTCTCTTTTAGGGAAGGCCTTGAGAGAAGTGAACCCAGGGAACAGCACGTTCCAGCGGCAGTGTGCTTGTACGATGGGCTACCACTGGAACGAGGACTGCGACTGCTGCCAGCGAAATACCATGTGTGCTCCTGGACTCGGAGTCAAGCCTCCTGGTAAGATACCGAAAGGGGATGTACAAAGTGAAATGTCCAGCTCAGGCCTACTGGATGAGGCCAGCATCCTGTGGGTTGTGACATTAGAGAGGGTCCTTTAGACTCTCAGGTGATTGTCAACAGAAGATGTATGTCTGAGTTGTCATTACTGCTGCATATCATCCTCCTGGACTGTGCACATTTTGAAGGCTCCTGCCTCCATAGTTTAAATAGTATCTTGGATCAAGTGACTTCTGCAAGTTGTCACGTGGACATGGCAGTAGTTAGAAGGTGTCCAGTACATTTCTAATGTTTGCTGAGGTGTCTGACTGTGAGTCACTAGGTCATGCGTTGCTCCTGTATTCAGAGAAGCACTCTTCTGAGGGTGTTCCTGAGGTCAGATTTGCAGTCTGGTTTTGTGAAATGACTTTGCTTTGCCACTTTTTAATGTTACAAACAACTTAAAACTGATTGGCACTTTTCAGGTAGCTCATGTATTATGTTTTGGATGGCTAGTAGTGCAAAGGTTTATTAGAGACATTTAATTTAAGTGTAATTAAAACCAGATGCAGGTGTTTTGTGGGTGGAAACCAGACAGTTAAGTTCAGAGTGAACACTGGGAACAGCTGCACCAGGCATAAGGAACCCCAAAAAAGCAGCAAATAATAGAGAAATGGAGGAAGAAATGCTTCATGTGTCTGGAGGGGAGTTGCTGTTTTTTCTCCAGCCTAACAAATCCTGATGCAGCATTTTGTTTACTGTGGCTTCACAGAAGTGACAATACCAGTCAGCGTCACTGTCTGTGGCACAGCATCATCGTGAGGGAATAAATAGAAGGGGAAGGATGTAACAGCTGTGTGTTATTTTTCAATAAATAACACAAATGGCTCCTGGTCATTTCTCATTTTGATCATGTAGAGGAGTGCTCAGGTGAGGCTTTTCAGGGCTTACATGGGACTGTCATTGCTGCCCTAATATAACCTAAGACCCCACCCTTTATGAAAGCTTTTAGGGGGATTGTGGGAGGAGAGTAGAGTGGGAGGATGGGGAGCATAGTCACCTTCCTCTCACTTAGAAGGAGCCCACAGAAACTCATCTATGAAATTTTTCATTCCTACACGCAGTGCAACAAGACAGGGACACAATGTGCATACCATGTCCCAGAGGATACTTCTCAAAGGTCTCTTCATCCACCGACGAGTGTAAATCCTGGACCAAGTAAGTCCTTGGGTGTTGTAAATGGACCACACCAGCCAGAAGGCAGGGAGAAGCTTGGGCAAAAGCATTTCTCAGTGGGGTGTTCCAGACTGCTTGTAGAGCACACGGAGCATCAGCATTGGCTGTGCAGTGGTGAAGGCATTGTCAGGCTGAAGCTTGAATTATCCTTAGAAGAGAACAAGAGAGAGCAGTGACAACAAAACTGCTGAGCCAAAAATAAAGTATTTGAGGTTCTTAGGGGTGGATAAATATCATATTTTACAACAGAAAGTACTGCTCTGCATAAGTGTAGGAGGCACAACAAGCTTCCTTGAGAGAACCTAGCTTCTTTGTCTTTCTTTTTTAGCTGTACAGCTCTAGGAATGGAAGAAAGTGTGCCTGGGACTGACAAGTCTGATGCAGTTTGTAAAGAACGGAAGATGCCTGAGCCATCAGAAGATGGTTTGTGTCCTCATAGGGGTTGTTGATTGGAAAGCAGCAGGGAGGAGGAGGGATGTGATTATTAGAGGTTTGGGCTGACTTAAATCCATTCTCATTGTGGGTGACTCTAGGGAGAGCAGCTGTAGACCAAGACAGTGCTCTTGGAAAATCCCATCTTTAAAAATTGTTTCAGGCCTGGTGACTCTAGGGCCTGTGTCCATTATTAAGCTGAGTTTAACACCTCCCACTAAAACTGCATGGCAGCATTGCTTTTACAACCGTGTTATACCCATGACTCCATCACATTTACAGCTTGTTCATTTTTCTGTGCTTTCTACACACACATTACATGTATAAAGACTAGCAGCTCCTCTCCTTGCTTATTTTATAGCAATGGATACAGTCTCAGCCTGATCCTTCTCATGTATCCCTTCTTGCCCACTGTTCATTTCCTTTTTCAGTTTGGATATGATACCAAGGAGGTTGCTTGCCTGACATGCAGCGATCCATCATAACCTGAGATAAAGGACAAATTTCTCCACCTGTATCTATAGTCTCTATGAAATGTGTGTCCTCTGTCCCCTGAGTGAGATCAAGCTCAGCCCAGGGGCCTGCTGGCAGCTTGCAAGGCAACATTGAGAGAAGCATGACCCGACAACATTGCTCTGTAACACCAGGATTCTGGTTTTTATGGAAATGTCTTGGTACCAGGTACCATCAGTGTGGCTGCTTGTCACAGAACTGCACAAGTGCTAGAGTTACTGTTCTTATTATAGAAACTAAAGATCAAATAGGAAGGAAAAACACCCCTCTCCTGTAGAAGAGCAGGTAAAATGAGCAAGGATTGTCTTACTGCTGAGTGCAGACTATGCTGATGGCACTATCTCTTTTACACCCTGCAGGGACAAACAGGATCTTGTACGTGTTGATTGTCATCTTGTTTTTCGTGACACTAATTGGCATTGTCGTCTTCATTGTATACTACAAGAAGAAGGGGAAAAAGCTGACAGGTACATCATAGCTAATGGTATTCGTGGGTGTGACAGCTGTGGCTCTCTGTGTGCTCTGATTTCATGGGTAACCAACACATCAAGAAGCTCAGGAATTACACTGGACGTTCTATGCCATCCCTGTGTCTGTCCATATGCATACGCTTTATCTAGCCAGGCTAAGAATTCCTCTCCTCTAGGCAGGCGGTAATTTACAGTGCATTACACTTGACCCATGGAGTGACCATCCTCAGGGCTGACATGAGTGTGGTTGGAAGGAGGAGGGCTATTCCTGGGGGCTTTCACAGCAGCCTGGCTGCTCTGCATCACCTGGCACAGCTGGCCCCTTGGCTGAAGGGAAGCAGGGACACATAGAAGTCCTGTCTCCTTCACCTTGCTTTCCCTCCCATCTGAAACCTGCACCTGGACAGGTTAAAATATGGATTTTAAAACTGATGTGTATTTGAGAATATGATGGAGATGATGTTTTTAGGTGAAGACAGAAGTTCTGATAAGGTATTGAAGAAATACTAGAAGGCAATAGTATGAATAGTTAAAGTATAAAAATAGAAAAATTCTAGCCAAAGGCATACTGGATAACAGTGGGATACTGAGTTTATTATTAATATAATAGAAATACCTTTGTATTCCTCTACTCTGTGTTAAGCCCTGGGTCTCTTAGTGAAGGACATACAGAGGTATTGTTCTGTTGGTTCTTAATTTTTTCCCCCTAAACATGGGAAGCTTTTTCCATCATTTCCTTTTCCAAGTGCTAGCAATTTATGAAGAGTTTGGGAGCAGTGGAAAGGAAGACAGAACTCACTTCTTGTAAAGTGTATTTCAGCCCATGTTTTAGAAATAGGCTGCCTCTGCCACACTAAACATGGGTTGTGCTAAATCTGGAATTTCTGGGATGGGCTGGAGGAAATGGTGACTCTTCTCACAAACCAAATACTTGTGATGCAGAGCAGGTTAGGGAGGGAATGCAATTTCTTTGACTTTTTTATTGCCCTACTGCTCTGCAGTGACAGAGCAACATTTGCCCCTCATGGCCTTTGCATGGGGAATCCTGCTCACCCGGCCTGGGAGAATTCCAGGCTCAGGAAGAAGCCCTTCCTGCTTATTGTGGGTACTAGTGGTAAATCAACATCAGAGCAACAGAGTCATTGCTGGGAACTGGCAGTGGCTGCACAGCTCATCTATCTTCAGCCATGCAAAACCATCTTAAACTTCAAATGTACACGGGACTTGAGCCCTGCAAAGTCTCCTGAATTTATAAAAAGAAACCAAGAATTGCTCATTGCTTCAGTTGTTGCCCTAAAGCATGTTGGACTTAAAGCTTTTTCTTGGGAGATACTCCAAAGAAATTGGAATGAATTTCCCCATTAAGCATACTCTGATTAAGTAGAGTATGCTATATTTGAGGCTGCCATCGTGTGGTTTCAGTGGCTTACCCTCTTTTCTCCAGGCTTCTCACTCCTGTCTGGGAAGGGCCTTTGGGCCATCCATGTGACTTCTCTTGAAATAGACCATTTCTGCTGTGAGCAGGTCGTTGTTGGGCCAGTCATAGCTTGGTGTGACATATGACCAGGAAAGAAACCCCATTTGATGTGGAACACAGTTTGACCGTGGTCTATTTTGGGAGTTTGGAAACATTTGTTCCACAGAAATATATCTCTGTTCCAGTTACAATGAATCCTCAGCTATACCAGTGCTGGGACACTTGAGCAGGCAGTAAAAACAGGCTTGCTGGTTTTATTTAATATGATATTGTGGGTTGTGAATGACTGTGGGTGTTTAGGTCTGTGGTCAACTTAAGTGCCTGCTATATGTTACAGCTACTCTTTTGTTTTCCCTACAGCAGATCTACAGAACTGGGCTAATGAAGTGTGCAGCCAAATAAAAGGAACAAAGGTAAAGTCAAAGATGGTAGCATTTTCTCTTGTTTTTGTGTTTTCCTCATGGCATTCCTGACATCCCTTCTGAAGCAGATTCCAGGGTAATCTTTGGCTAGAAAACAAATTTCGAGTTCCTCAAAAATTGCTCACAACTTTGGCTTTTTCAGTCTGGTTTTCTGTAAATGTGAGGTGTGTGAAATCACCATTCACAAATAGCTTCCGAACCTGCTCTCTGGTTTCAGCCACTTTTAACAGAGATAAAGGTCTCGTGATTATTTAATAATTATGATGAGAAAGTTAATCATGAACCCACTGGTTGCTGAGCACCTGAGACTGCTTAGGAGAGAGCCTTTCTAAATCCTAAGTGCAGGAAAAGCTTCAGCTGAGTTTGCCCCTTGTTACATACCAGAGTACTCACAGGGAAGAAACTTGGATTTGGGTCATGCCAAAAATGCCAGGCATGCAAGGGATTAAACACAGAGCCATCAGCTAAAGAAACTGTTTGGCTCCTTAATTCTAGGGAGGAAGAAATCCTGCTTGTGCATTCCTACACGAAATAAGTAAGAGCTTTTGCTCTGGAAGAACACCAGCTCCATGCTTGAAACAGATGGTAGCACTGCTTCAAATTCATGTGCACAGCCTGCTTAACACAGTGGAAGTGGACTGAGGTGTCCCCAGTGTCCCACCACCCCTTCTAGGAGCTGTGATGAGCTTAGCCGTTGAAAGACTCCGATTTCATTGCTTAAAAGAAAAACCAAACATACCAAAAAAACCCACCTTTCTGAGCAGGCAGTTCCTCTTTTGTCTCATAAGTCTTCATGCAGCCTCCTGTCTTGGCAGCTGCTTAGGTCCTCTGGGACAGAGGAGTGAATCAACAGCAATTAGTGGCTGGCAGCGCTTACACTCTCTTTTCTATCCTGGAAGATCTGAACAGATGCTAGAAATTAAAGGTATCAGCTCCCAAACACCCGTCTTTAAAGCACAACTTGTACAAGCTGAAGAAAACCCATGAAGTGTTTCCCAATCCTTTTTTTTGAGCCGCTGCCAAAAATGTAGCTTTACTTTGTCAGTTACTGTGACAACAGGATGTCATGGGCCTTTGCATTTTTTTGTCCTAGCCTTTCAGGTTAATACAGCCTTGCTTGTGTTTTCTTCTACCTTGTCTCAGAACTTCTGAATCAACCCAGGATCTTTCTTCAGTCATTGCTGATATTAAAAATTCAGCCCCCAGTAAGGCCGTCACAGATCAATAGCCCTTCAGACACAAGGGAGTGTTTCCGAAACCTAATAAGCAGTTTTGTGGGTCTTACTAATGGTCCATAAGGAACAGCAGAATTCAGCAACTCTTCTAGGTTTATTAACTCTTCTTGAGTGGCCTTGAAGAAAAAGCTAGGAATAGTTGTCTCACAAGACTGAATGTTATTGCTCCCCAGGCCACCAGATTCCGTTCTCAACACCTGCTGAGCCCAGCATCACCAGGCACAGTTTCACAGTACAATTGCACATCAAGACTCAAATATAGCAGCACTGCTCAACCTCAGCAGCTCCACACAGAGGGAGGACCGTGATCTGCCTTTTCCTTCTTTGTCTAAAAAATAACTCCATGTTGATCCATTTGTTAAAGACGTTTTTACTTTCAATTTCTTTCAGGAACCCCCCAGAGATGCCCTTGTTACTGTGAACATCACAAATGCTTCTGTCCCCCAGACTGCTGAAGGCACGTGTCTCCTGGTCCCCTCGGGCTCTCCTGTCCCTGGAAAATCGTGCTGCACTTCTGGTCACACTCCTTGCAGGAATGAGAGCCCCAGCACAGAGCCTTGTGAGGCAGGAGAGTTTTCTGTGGTAACCGAGACTGATGATTACCAATTCCCACCAGTTCCCACGGAAGATGAGTACATGGATAAGGATCTCAATAACACTGATTATTTGTCTTTACTAAGTCAGACTGCCAGCAAAGCCGTGTCATCATTTTCAGAACCAATGGAGGCAGGGGAGAATGACAGCTTGAACCAGTTCTTTCCAGGTATTGGGAGCACAGAGGATGTATCAGTCTCTCAAGGCTTTCACCCTCCTTCCAGCACAGATGGGACACACATTGCCACGGACCAGCTTCTACAGAAATCTTGCCAAAATGCCCACAGTTGCCTGAAGGTAACAGGCAACAAAGACACAGATCATTTTGCAACAAACTGTGACTCAGAGAAGATCTGTGTGAGGTGTGGCATTTTGTACAGAGAATCTCCCCAAAAGTGTTACAAACCCTGTCGTGCTGCGGCTGACAGTACCTCCACCTCCCCAGAAACTGGTTCTTGTGCCCAGTGCACCTGTGGTTTTAATTTTGTCTCTGCTGGTCAGAGCACTCTAGCAAACGATCTTGGTATGGAAGATGCACCTTCAGATAGTACCAACGTGAAGTACCAGAACACAAACGGAAGCACTTCAGGGACACACAGAAGCACTTCAGACCTCCCTCCAGCATCTGGTAAGCCCATTAGGCTTCACCCATACACAGTTGTATAGGATTGTTCTCTTTGCTAGATCAGTAGTATTCAGAGGATCTGATTTAGGAGAAGAAAATTATTCTTTTTCACTTAATTGCCCTGAAGCTAGTCTGAAAAAATATCTGAAATTGTAAGGCCAATTGGCTTGTATTGAATTCTACAAGAAGAATGAGCCCAGCAGGGGACCATTGTCCCACCCTGATTTAACCGGCACTGCAGAACCCACCTTCTGGCTGTCACTGCAGAGGCCAGGCAGTTATGTTAGCAGAACACAATGTAGGGACCTAGAGGTTGAGCTAAGGAAGGATGCATAATGCTCAGGCAGATACTTTTAATTCACCAATGTGCACACATATTTTTGCCATTATATTTTAGTCCAGTTACATTTATACAGTGCTCAGTGAAACTCCAGCTGGAGCTGTAAGCTGGTGGCCATGGTTGGGTCTAAGAGATTATCTACAGTTTTCTGCTTATGGCTCTTTGTTTTTATTTGCTGGGATATAAGCATTCACATGAAATGGTTTCATACAGACACTGTTTCTCCATACACATATGCTTTGTTCCCTAAACAATTCTAAAACACTGATTACTTTACTAATTGTCTACCAATTTATTAATTGAGTAATGGTCAAATGAAAAGGAAAAAAAGCACTGAAGCAAAACCAACAGAAGGGAAGTTATGTGCCTTCTCTGGATGAAACCTTCCTTCCCCAGACTTTTTTCGGTACAAAAGTCTGCAATCTGCCTGTAATGTGTTATTAGTCATTTTAGATTATAATCTCATAAAGTTAGATGGTCTATTTTTATTTATATCAGTGCACTGCCAAGCATAATGAGACCTTAGTGTTGAGTGGGACATCCAAGTATTACTGTAATACCCACAGCAGTTGTAAGCTGTTGCCTCTCTTTAAAACCATGTTGTTCCTTAAAATTTCTTACAGAGACATTCTTGTCAGTCTGCCAAAGCCCCAAAACAACACACTTGAAGGCCCTTCCTCTCTGAACATGCATTCCATATGAGAATCTGAAAGTGTGTAGCATTCATCTTCTGAAGAGCAGAAACTTTCTGCTGCTTCAGTTTCCTGAAATCTTGATGCAGTTTTACTGTCTGGTCTATACAAAATGCAACAGGAGTAAAGAGAACACAGATTATCTTTTTTCTTATTGTTGGACCCTTGAGGTACAACTGAAAGCCAGGTTATATTTGGTACTGCGGTACTGTTTTCTTTCTAAATATGAGAGAAAGAGAAAATATTAAAGAACAATAGAGCAAATGGGAAGTACTGTTTTCTTTCTAAATATGACACAAAGAGAAAGAGAAAATATTAAAGAACAATAGAGCAAATGGGAGAGCTTGGATATAAGTGCTGTGCTAGCAAGTGCCATCTTAGATCTGCTGCACAACTCTTTATACAGGATTTTAATTGTGTCTGTGCCTTTGGATATGTACATGCTATAGTGCCATCTGGTGAAACCTGAGCACAGATACTGTGTTCCTAATCTGCCAGTTTTTTATGCATGACTACAGGAAGATACTGACAGAGCTGTGGGCAGTATCAGAGTGTGGGTTAGTTGATCTGTGGGTAACCTGGCTTGTTGGCAGAGTAATTTTTCTGCCCACAGAATGGCCATGCCCCCCTGGCAGTGCCTGCTTGCATGAGGACCGGGACAGGGCTTAGCCACAGGTTCCTCACTGAAGCAGCCCAGGCATGCCAGGGCTGCATGTGTGGGTGCATCAGCATCTGTCATTTTGCTAGGCCTTGTGAAATGCCCAGATGGAATAAATGTGCATGTGAAATAACTTTCTGTAAAGCTTTTCAAAGCAACTGGAGCCACCAGGCTTTGCACACAGTTATGCTAAAACAGAATGGTACAAAAAAGTGTAGGTGAAAAATGGAAAGAAAAAGAGCATGGTAAGTTCCATGAAGTTTTGGTCTTGGTTCACTAACACTCAAAATGACAACAGAACTGGTAAACTCTGTCCCTCCTGTGAAACAATCCTAGAGGACCAAAGTGGACCTCTGGACAGGTGCCCCTTCCAGGGCTCACCACTGGAGATGGAGGTAAGCCTTCAAGCAGTTCTTCAAAGCTGCTCACAAGTCCTTCTCACAAGCCTGGAGGCAGTCAGAACATGAAGGATCAGTTCAGGCCCACCTCAAATGCTGTGCAGGGCTACAGCATAACACGAGTGCAGGAAAACTTAGCTGACTCATAATTGGGACTGGTTTTGCAAAGCCTTTCACTTCCAGATCCCAAACCAGCCTGGTTTGGCAGTGACAAACAGTTCTCACCACCTAGAGGCCATTAAATGTCTCAGAGAAAATTATTTGCCTGCCTTGTTCCAGTTCTTAGTGGACAATTACCACAAAAATTAGTCTGTCTTTGTTATTAATATCAGATAGTCTAAAGAGATCAAAAGGCTGAAACACTGCAGAGAACAATGCCTTCACTCTGAATGTGTCCCTTATAATTTTCAGGTTGGAAGCACTTTTCTTGCACAGTGTAGGAAGCTCTTGTGTCCATTTTCTGTGCTTTCAGGCCTTAAATATCCTTTTGTTTCAGCATGGTGTCTTCAGAAAGCACAGAAGGTCTGCCAGCCACATTCAGCTAAACATTACGAATGTGTTAATCTGCCTTTTTTTTCCCTTCCCACTGCCACATATATTTCTAAATTTTTGATCTCGTGCTGAGCACTGGTAACTTTATTCACAGCACCTTTTGCAAGTGACAGGCAATCTGTTTAAAGACAAACAGTTATTTTTGTACTGCCGTTATGCCCAAGACTTTTATTCATGGCAAACAGCCACACTGAATCAAACACAGGGGAAAGAACCAGCAGGGAAAAACTCCCACAGAGAAAACCCTTATGGACATCTCATGTTAATCAACAGCACTTGGGAAGAAAGCAAAGAGCTAGCAATGCAGTGGTTTAGGTGAAATAAATAAGATTGCTTAAGGGGGGTCTCCTGACTCCACACAGCTGGAGACCAGTGCCCAGTGCTGGTGTGCAAACATCACCCGTGGCCAATGGAAAAACAGCATTTCTCTGGGTCGGGCTGTGTTTATCTGCAGAGAAAATGGGAATGTCTCAGTTGTTGAGGAATATCATGAAGAAAGCATAAAATATCTAACAGGAGTTGGATCAGTCTGCAAGTAATGATGAATTGAAGCACGGCAGGAAAAACATTTCTTAGTAAGGGTGTTGAGAGGCTAGGAAAATTTTGTTGGTTTCTTCAGTTTATTTAATTTTCAAACTTTAGCAAGCTTGTTAGTTTGATGTTGGAAGTTTGTTCTCAGTTATTTTCTTTCTGCTCTGAGGAAAGTTTATTAATTCCCAGAGCCTGGTCCTGCTGTCACTTAGGTCAGCAGCCCAGTCCTTGAATAGCAGAAGGATTGCATTTATATTGAAAAATCTCTAACCTCAGGCAGACTGACTGAAACCATAACTCTGTTAAGTTGCTATAATGTAGACTCTGTCTCTTCAATGGCATCAGTCTCCATCCAGCTAAATCCCTGCAGAGGCTAGATGAGTGCCAGAGTGTAGCTTCATGGAGGATCTGGACTATATAATTGTCTGTTTTTTGGACACTGTGTGACTGTGTGATCTGCTGTTAAGTCTTTCAGTATTTATTCAGTAAGCCTGCCACCTAACCCAAGTGGTAGGACCGATTGGGGGTTTATTGCTTCTTTGGTAAACAGTGTGATTTCTGGGACTCTAGGAAAAAATAAATCTCATAATCAGAAATAACTAGCATCACAATTTCCTCACAAACCGCAGGCAGAGGCAGGTTGGACACTGCTTTGTGCATCAGGCAGCACAGGGGACATGAGATCGTTATCCTCTCTCTGGCTTCCCAGATCACAGCTCAGAGGGAAAATGTTTCCAACCCTTCCAGACAGGGTCCTTGCGTATGACAGACTTTGTCCTGAGAAGACGAAAATGGAAATAATGAAAAGGTCCAGTGGAAGGCATTGATTATAACAGCATCCTCATGTCACGGGGGAAAAAATAATGGAACAAGAACAAAGCCACCACAGCAGATTAAGTTCACTGCACTAAGTGTCCATCTTGTGAGGGAAAATATTAATCATGTGTGTCTTCTTTTCTTCCCCGTCCTTCCTTAGGAAATGTGACTGGAAACAGTAACTCCACCTTTATTTCAAGTGGACAAGTAATGAATTTCAAGGGAGACATCATTGTTGTCTACCTTAGCCAAAACTCTCAGGAGGGGACAACGGTCTCCTCGGGGCTGAGCGAGGAGAACGTGGGCAGCCCGGTGCAGGAGGAGAACCTCAGCCGCTGCGAGACGTTCGCCGGCAATGCCCAGCACTACAAGGAGAAGTGTGCGGAGCTGCAGGGCGCCCGCCCAGCCCCGGGGAGCGGGGGGCCACGGTGGCCTGGTGGAGCCCTGGCCCAGGAGTGGGGCCCGTCCTGCGGTGGACAAGCCTCCCAGCCCGTGCAGGAGGAAGGGAAGCTGGGACACTTCTCGGAGAAGGTGTTGAACTGAGGGGACACGGTGTCCTTGCTGCGGGCCAGGGCACCGGCACACAGCCCCCGACGGGGTGTGGGGCTGCTGCCGTGCTGCCAAAATCCTGGGTGTCACGACAGACTGGGAGACTGTTGCTGCCCCTGGTGTCTCCGAGGAAATTTTACAGCTGGAAGGACCCTCATGGCACATGTCGGTGGCGGTGGTGGTGCTCTGGGTGGAGGTGGCTGATGACAATGGGCACATGCGTGAAGCTGGGCACGCTGCCCCTGTTGCAGAAGCAGCAGCAGGGCTTTCTCCTCTCCCCTACAGGGAGATGGGCTCCCTGCTTGTCCCCCATTCCCTGCCACCTCTCCCTGGCAAGTGGCAAAAGGGAGCTGAGATCCATCGACCTGGGGACTCTGTGAGGAGGAGAGCACTGCTGGCCAGGTGGGCAGGATGCTCCTGGAGAGGGGACGGTGTGGCCAAGGACTGGACTCATGGGGGCCCCTGAGCTCTGCCTCGGGGTTTCTTTTTTGCAACTAAGCTGTACCCATTTTGCTGGGTCTTGGAGGTAGAAAGAAGCCATGGTGCTGCTGAAGCCTTTGCCTCCCTGTGGTGATGTGGCAGGTGGCATCATCCTTTCCCATCTTTCCGCAGGGAAGCAGACATTCCAGTCCCAAATCAGCACCAGAGCCAAGGTCCTGGGCTGCCCCTTATTGACTTGTGGGTATAAATAAGTGTGTGTAATGCTGCCACAAGCAGATGATAACATGCAAAATACAGCTGATATGCCTTAAAAGCATATCAGATTAATCTCGGGCAAAGAGCATTTATAGTGACCCTGATTCACCTCTGCCTTATTGCACCTCTCCAGAGGAGTTCAAACCTGTGGAGATGAGAGTGATGTGTGTCTGGTACACTGCTGCAGGAATAACATCACTATAGTTTAAGACAAAGAGCTGCTAGCAGAAAGAGATAAAGGAAAAAGGGTCTGTGACAACCAGCTGTGGGTATTTCCAGTAGTTACAGGAGAGGGAAGGATTACCCAAAGATAGAGAATTTGGTCAAACACTCATTCTTTTATCTGCCCAAACAATTTTGTTATTCCCTTTGCTATTTTCATTAATAGGCAAAGATTTACTTAGGTAGCATGAAGCTATTTCCAGAAGTTGGCCTGTGTGAGCTGAAGTCAGAGTGTAGCTTATGAGCAATGGGACCAAAGGTTTGGCATTAAAGAATAATAGTAGAAGGGAATTTAGAAGGGAATTTAGAAGGGAATCTTGGCTACTCAGCTGGCTTTGGTTCACGTCCAATATCCTGCAGCCTTCTCCAGCAGCCACTGTGGAGAGAAAGATGAAGGGAGCAAAGTCTCAAGGAACTCCCAAAGAAAAAGATAACATTTTTAATGATTTCCTGACAAGGGATAATTTTCTGACTTTCTCCTGCAGGTGTGAGTGCTGCAGGCATCTATCTGCAGCCTTCAGGAGGGCAAGTGCTCTGTTTCCTGCCAGACAGCAAAGGGATCTCTTACCTAGTGTAGCTTCCCTGTTGGAAAAGGTCTCTGGTTGGAAGGGCTTCTTCCCAGGAATGTTTTAAGGTTGAGGGGTTCACTGCATAGCTGCTGTTTGCAGTAGTACTGCTCTGTGGGGAAAGAGTACCTGTAAAGCTGACAAGGTGATCACTGTGTCACAAAGGGCTTCTCATGCATAAAACAAAAGGATGGGCTTAGCCAACTTCACCTTTCAGGAGAATAATTCTGCATTGTTTATATATCTGGGATGTAAAGTTCAGTACAAATGTGCAAGACTCTCTCTTGGGTGACTGGCAAAAAGGGCAAATGAACAGCCAGTCTCAATTCCACCTCTATGGCCTTCAAAAAACTAGATCACTCTGGCCTAGACTCAGACGGGCAGGTAGAGTGTCCCATTCAGTGATGGCCCAAGCTACCTCTGCCTCTCTGAAGGTGTGTAACTGAGGCTCTCTTGTCTGTGGGATTCTTTTGTCTTTCCTGCTGGATCTTTTCCAATCTCTTTCTAGTCTCTTCTGGAGTAGTTCTGTATCCCCTTGGCACTGGTACAATAGGGACAAGGAAGCAGAACCACCATCACCTTCAGGAAAGGTGGTAGAGATATTTTCCCACTTCATCTTAATTTTTTCGGTGGTTTTTTTCTGGAAAGCATTCTGCAAGACATCAGTCCTGCTGGAAAACATCCAACCAGCCCCATTTACAGGGCAGGCAGGATGAATTCTTGCCCTCATCTCTGCATAAATTACCCAGGTCTGTCTTTTTCTCCTTCTGCAGCTTCTTTCTTCCCTTGGTTTGTAAAAGGCCACCAGAGAGCAGGCTCAAAATCCTGGTTTGAAGGGAGATAATGGGAATTTATTGTGTGTCCTCAATGAGGACACATTTTTCACTTGTTGAATTTCAGGTTCTTACTGAACAAGGATTTTAACTAGGATCATCAGCAAGCATGAAGAAATTATTCCCATATGGGAAACATGATGCAGCAACAGACCCAGTTCTTTTTCTTCCTCCAGAGTCTATTCCAAAGTGAAAAAACAATATCACAGCCATTAGCATGCTGCATGTTCCCTGGGTCTCTGCCTGGCTCCTCAGACCAGGATCCCAAAGGGACTTCTTTTTCTTCATGATTTCATTTGTCATCAGCTTGGAGCTGGGAGTGGTTTTTGGCATCTGTTTGTACAACAGGGACCTGTGCATTGGGCACTAATTTGGAGGCTTCTGGCTGCTATTGTAATACACATAATTAATGAAAATAAAAATCTGAAATGTCTATTTGAGAAAAGGTGAAGATTTTATTTGAATAAAGGGGGAAATGAAATACATTATTATATGCCTCTGCCTGTTTAAAGAAAAAGAAAAAAGAGCAAAATGTGAGCATTCCTAGTTAGGCTTTTGTAACATTTTCTGTATGTTGAATTGTTTTAACAAGTGCTTGCCTTCCACAATGTGTTCTGCAGTGCTAATTCTGCACCTGCACTCAGCCTGATAGGTGCTCTCATAGACCTGGTGTGGTAATGCTTTACTGCTGAGAACTAGGCACTGATTCCAACTAATTCCTGAAGTTTCCTCCTGCACAGCATGCATTTTTACAAGTCTTTTAGTTTGAGGAGTCGCATGAATTATCCTTGGTGAATATACTAGGTGTTCTAGAAAGTCAGCCACTTTCAGAGTTAGCAGGACAGGAGTAATTCTGCATATAGCCATGGGAAAACAAGTACACTGGAGCAGGCCTTCTTATTCCCACGGAACACAATATGGCATTGAAGACCAGTGTAGACAGTAATGGCTGTTAACCTATGTACTTTGCTACATGTTCACACAGAGACTGGAAGTGACTCTGCAAGCTTATAGCATACCTGGGAGTAGCGCCACTAAAATGTCATTTCTACTTGTCCATTCAGGTTTCCTCCTTTTTATCAGGTTGATGGTATCTGACAATTACACCCCTGTGTCTATCATAAAACAGAACCCTGATGAAAGATGTCTTTGTGCTTATCAGGTATTTAATAGCACTCTCATTTTATCAGATACCTACATGCACATTAGGCAGCAGTGCCCCTGTAAAAATAATCTACCATGACTGAAGAATTCACTTCTGCAGCACCTTGGCAGACCCCAACATATACCCCTGTTTCCCATTGCTGTCACTTTGATAGTGTGGTTGCTTGGTTTTTCCTTCTGCCAAGCATCCAAGTTGGTTGTGGCCTCCAAGGTGATTGTGTTGTCTCTGCAAGCGTTGCTGCAGTCTTGCCTTCAGGCCCTCCAGCTGACTTGTCACATCTGTTGTGTTGTAAAATGTGAGCATTCAGAAGCATGAACTTTGTGGAAAAATGCTTTATTACAATTCTCTCTGGCTTTTGAACAAGGCAATGACCGCATAACATTAAAGAACCCTGTTGCGGTAGGTGACGATGCCAGAGTGTCCAGTCGGATGTGTTTTAACGCTGCTTTTTTATTTCTTCTTCTTCTGGCTAGTTGGTTTATGGTTTCTTTGTTTTGGCTGAGGATTACCACAGCTCTTCTGGTTCATTTCTTAGCCTGCCTCACCACTTGGTCGATCCTGGGGTGTTGCACTGGTTTTTACTTGCATCAAAGTTGACAACTCTGTTCCATCATGTTTCTATTGGTGGTCCCACATTTCTATACAATATATGCAGATGGCCATACATGAAATTGCTCCTATTTCAGCTTCACAGGAAACTGTTGGAAAGGTTTCCAAAGAGAGTAAAGGAGCTCAGGAGTGTTTGAGACCACCTGTATGAGTGGGACATACACAAGTCAATGGGACTTGGCAGAATGCATCCAAAGCTTCTGGGAGGGCTTGCCAACATCATTGCAGAGGCACACTGCAACATCTTTGACAGGTCATGGAGTTTGGGGGAAGTCACAGCTGACTGGAAAAGGGCAAATATTACACCCATCTACAAAAACAGAAAAAAGAAAGAGACTTGGGAAATTACAGATGAGTCAACCTCACTTGAGTACCTTGAAAAATTACAGAGTGGGCTCTCCTAGAAGCTGTTTCTGGGCATGAAGAAGAAGAAGGCAACTGGGAGAAGCCAACACATACGTTAGCTAACTCAGCTTTTTCCCGCTGTCAGCAGTTTGTTATTTGCTTCCTCATTGATTCCATAGAGACTTGGAAGCATCACCTTCCTCATGAAGAACTAGGCAAAGAAGGCATAAAAAAAATCTTCAGTTCTCCCTCTGTCATTTATAATTAACTGGCCAGCCCCACTCAACAGTGGACCTACCTTTTCCTTGTCCTGCCTGCTAACACACAATACAGGATGTTAATATTTTCTTGCTATTCTTGGCATCTTTTGCCAGCTCAGGCTAGGGCTGGACTTTAACCTTTCCCTCTTCATCTCTGCGTGCCTGAGTGATATTTCTATATTCTGCTTTGGAAGCCTGTTCCTTTTTCCATCACTTTCATGTTCCTTTTTTTTGTATCTGAGCTCTTTCAGTATCTCACTGTTTAACCAGGCTGGTTTCTTGCTGTGCCTGCTTAGGTGGGTGGACTGCTCTTGTGCATGGAGAATGCTGTCTGAAAGTCTCCCAATGCTCCTGAACCCCTTTGGCTTTCAAGGCAGACTTCAGGGATACCTCCTGACAGCTCCCTGAGCAGGATGAACTCTGCTCTTTTGAAGGTCTGGGGCTTTACTCTGCTACTCACCTTCTTCACATTCCTTAGGATAATGTTACCAGTTCAGCCGAGGCTGCCAGTGCCAGTCTTCAATTGTTTGAAGAAGTTTTTATCTGTTTCCACATCAGGAAACAGATTCCATGGCAGACACCTACCACAAGCACTTCCTCGATGGTGACTCCTCTGATTTTGACCCAAAGACACCCAGCTGATCTGTCCTCTTGCCCATGTCTCAAATCACTCTTTTACGTAGAGTGTAATCCCTCCTCCTCTTCCACCTTTTCTATTTTCCCTCAAAAACTTGGAAGCTCTTGCTTTTTTTTCTAATAGAGCTATTTCCTTAGATGGTTTCTAAAATGATAGAAAAACCTCTCACCAAGTTCCCTACTGTTGTGCCTTTGTCTGGTTATAGGTAATAAACTTAATCTCATGCCTGGGAATGGGCCTTCAAATTTCCCACCTGTAAGAAGGGGAGGATGAGAGGCAAGGGCTGGAGCTGGTGTGAGGAGCAGGGGCTGAAAGATGTGTTCCCTCTTCCCACTGCCCTGTAGAGATGTGGGGAGAAGATAGCAACTTGCTGCTGCTGGAAATGGCAGCGTGGCCAGCAGCATCCTGGAGGCTTTGTCATTCCTGGTGTCCAGGTATTATCCCAGTTATGTCCAGTACCAGGTGTTATCCCATGAGACCTCAGTCTCCTCTGTCCTGCACGGGAGGAAGCAGCTGGCAACTCATCCAGGGTTTCCATCAGACGAAATCAGGCCTGTGTATATCTCTCTCAAATAAAATCAGTGAACACAAAATGAACTGAAATTTGCCATAAGCAGCACATGAGGACAAACCATTTCAAATGCAGAAACCACTGCATCAATAGGCTGTTCCTATTGATCATCACTGTATTATAATGGAAGGCTCTTTATACAAAGTCTCAATCATTTGAAGCACCTCAAATGATTATCTAGAAGGTGTTTTTTTAGCATGCAGGCCTGCCATTGCAGTTCTCAATTGCATATCCTTAGGAAGCAGCTTACTTTCTTTATTCTCTCTGGTTTTGTTCTGCTCTAACATTCACTTATCTCCCTTTTAGTGTTGTAGGCACCACTCAAGCACAAAAGTTCTTGCTCCCTGTGGGAAATACAAAACAGTTTCCCCAGTGGACATTTGCCTTTTGCATCATTTCAGTTTCTTGTTGGGTTTTTTGCAAGCTTAGCTGGTCATAAATGAGCTAGACAACAGATGCTAGAGCTCATGCTATAACACAGAAAATTTTAATTTAACAGAGGTTTCCACTTAAAAATGCAGCTGCCCATTGATGCACGGCCAAATTTACTTCTGAGAACACACTTCGAATGTATTGGAGAATGAGATGGATGCAAGTAGCTCTAATGATTGTCTCAGCAGGCTACTCATAAATGTTTCCTGCAACCCCTGTTCTTTTCATCCACACCCCATAGATCCAACCTGTCTGCTGGATGAGCCACACTTCAGGGATACATTAGAAACCTGTCCAGTTCATTGTCTTACACTTACACAAAATAATCCTTGCCAGGATTTTATTCCCTTTGTCTGAAGGGATGCTCCAAATATGACAGAGGCATAAATAATAAATCCACTTAAATGCTTGGGTTTTCTCAGTCAGGCTGGCCTGCTGTATTTAAATATTGATATCCTTTGGGTCTGTTCTCTTCAAAGTCATGTTCTTTGACAGGTCCCATTTGGGTCCACTGCACTACACTTCTGTCTGCTCTGTAGAAAGTGCTACAGCTGGTGGTTTGTTGATGAAAAATACTAGAAATCAGTTGAGTATTCTTTTGTTCTTAATTAGGAGGAGATGGAAAAACACATTGAAGAATTATGTCCAATTAATGATTTTTAAAAGTCTTATAAGACTTGTTTCTTTTTGGATTTTCATGTTTTTGGTTACTTTGCAGTAACAACTCTTCCCTGCCAGCATTGTTTTCCCTTGCAGGATAACTGTGTGTTGCTGAGGATGGCTGAGGGGCAGGATTGCTCTAAATTAAAGATGGACTCTATTTCTAAGTGAAATGTCTCACATGGTTCCTTTACTGGATGAATGGACACAAAAAGCTTTGCCCTGCTTTACTGTGACCAGAATATGCATGCTGCAGGGACTGCAGAGCTGTTGACATGATTCCCTTGGAGTTCATGCAGATACACTGAATAAACCAAATCACAGCCACAACTTCTTTGGCTTGCATGTGAATAACATCAGCTGACTGTGTTTCAAAGAGCAAAGATATGCCTGGGTTTGGGTGTTTTATGTTTTTTTTTTGGGTTTTTTTCCCTTCCCTCTAGTTTTCTTTCCCTGTCCTAAGCTTATCATTCCTTTTTCGGTGTAAATACAAAGGTCACGGTTTCAGTACGGTGGGTGACTCATTCTCATGTTTGAGCAATGTGATCAAAATGGAAACTTAGAACTCCCGGTGTGGTGTGTGTCCCATGTCACCGGCCTGCACAAAGCATGCCTTTGTGGATGCTGGCTCTCCTGAAGGGATCCGGTGTCACGTGTGTGATAACTTGAGTGCGAGCTCGGAGCAAATGCTTTTAACCTGACAGTGCTGCGTATGTTAAAATAAGGCAGATCGCTTTTTGCTGTCGGGGAGGTGCATGTGACACCTTTAGCAGCCGTGGGCATGTGTCCCTTTGTGGATGCTGGCTCTCCTGAAGGGATCCGGTGTCACGTGTGTGATAACTTGAGTGCGAGCTCGGAGCAAATGCTTTTAACCTGACAGTGCTGCGTATGTTAAAATAAGGCAGATCGCTTTTTGCTGTCGGGGAGGTGCATGTGACACCTTTAGCAGCCGTGGGCATGTGTCTGTGTGTATGTGTGTCTGTGTGTCTGTGTGTGTGTGTGTGAGTCTGTGTGTGTGTCTGTGTGTGTGTGTGTGTGTGTGTGTGTGTGTGTGTGTGTGTGTGTGTGTGTGTGTGTGTGTGTGTGTGTGTGTGTGTGTGTGTGTGTGTGTGTGTGTGTGTGTGTGTGTGTGTGTGTGTGTGTGTGTGTGTGTGTGTGTGTGTGTGTGTGTGTGTGTGTGTGTGTGTGTGTGTGTGTGTGTGTGTGTGTGTGTGTGTGTGTGTGTGTGTGTGTGTGTGTGTGTGTGTGTGTGTGTGTGTGTGTGTGTGTGTGTGTGTGTGTGTGTGTGTGTGTGTGTGTGTGTGTGTGTGTGTGTGTGTGTGTGTGTGTGTGTGTGTGTGTGTGTGTGTGTGTGTGTGTGTGTGTGTGTGTGTGTGTGTGTGTGTGTGTGTGTGTGTGTGTGTGTGTGTGTGT